AAACACGATAACTCAAAAAATAATTGAGATAATCAAAATCTGGAAATGCCAAAAGTTTTGTATCCGAAAAACTTAGTTTAAGTTCGAAGATGAGCCATTTTCGATTTGATCCTGGGGACTTGCCCTAAGAAAAACCTCAAAAAATTGACACTTTTGTATGGGAGGTACCTGTAAATCGACTCCGACTGGCTTCAAACTTTCTAGGATTTCATTTTTTGGGAGCAAAATAAGATTCTGAAAGTTTAAAACCAATCGGAATCGATTTACGGGTACCTCCCATACAAATTTTTTGAAATTTTGACTAAAATTACCGATTTTTGAATAATTGTCCATAGGAGGTACCCGTTAATCAATTCTGATTGGCTTCAAACTTTCTGTGGTTTCATTTTTTGGAGAAAAAATAAGATTCTGAAAGTTTCATGTTGATCGCATTTGCAGAAGTTTGGTTTTTGGCCCTCAATTTTTTCCAAGAAAATTTCGACAAAATTTTTTTTGTTTTCTACGCGTTTCATGAGTTTTTATGATGATCTAAACCAATTTTGCGAAAAAAGTTTTCGGGACCAATTCCTATACTTTCCCTTGACACGTTGTGTACGGAAAAGTAAAATTATGAAAGCCTCATCGAACGAATGTAGGCTTTAATCAAAGCCTATCGCGTTCACCCGGATTATTTTAAAATCGAAGAGAAATTGGGGTCAACAGAAAAATGATTTATATATATGTAATTATTGTCAGTGTAATATATTGATTGGATGTACGCTTTGTTAACCAGTTCGATTAATGCGATTCACAAACAACATTGAATATACGCTAATTGAATATATATAAAATATGGCAGAAGATATAACATTACATGCTAGTCTATGGTTTAGTTACACAGATCAAACCATCATTTTGTTTCAAACAACCATAACGCCGAAATTATTATCGATGTCATGGAAACTCTTGTTTACATTTTGCAAAATAGTTAATTCGAATTGAAATAATTTTAAACCGTTGTAAATTGAAAAGAGGAAAAAAATATCACCGAAATGTAGGTAGATCTCTAACCAAACTATTTGCTATAAACCATCGCTAGTCAATTCGATAAATTTCAACTTAAATATGGATGGCAAGAGGATTCGCCGAATAACCGATTAATTCTAATATGCTCTTGGAAAGATAACTTGAACTAAAATATTGTCACAGTCACAACGAGGCATTTCCATAAAATCAACGGTTTCAATGTGTTGAGAGAGAGAGAGTACTCGTACTTCGTCTTCACGATGATGATGATGCTGCTGCTGCTGCTGCTGTGGCGTATATGCGATCCGTATTTGTAAACTATATATCACTTGAAGTCTCTGTTTTTGCACTAAAATGGTAATTCCTTTTAATTACATTGGAATAAGCAGACAATCCAAGGACTACATAATATTGGAAGACAAATATACGTTGAGTATCATGCACAAAAAGACAGAAGACTACAACACAGCATAACACACAGCGCAATGTTGTGTGATGTGATGCAGAATTTGTGGAGTAGAAAGAGAGAGAGATAGCAAGGGCAAGAGCAGGAGTAAGAACAAGAGCACTGAGCATCTTGGATGCAAACGTAACGCGCCATAAATATCCTCTTAACATTACCATCCTGAATCTAACCTTGTAATCGTATAAATATCTATCTGCTTACGTGTGTCTGTTGAACTTTTTAGCTACTTTAACTCGAGTTTTTCATCGCTCGTCGTCGTGCCTATGCATGTGTGTGTATGAACCGTTTACATGTTGGCCAATATTGTTGTAAAACAAAGAGTTAGAGTCAGCATAGTAGTTAAAAGCGTGAGCGAGACAAAAGTGAGAGAGGGAGAAAAAAAAGGTTAAATTATTCTCGTTAAAATGGAAACAGACAGTCGCATGGAAAATCCTAATAGTTGCTATGACGGAACTAAATGCCATTTTTTTTTTCTCTCTCTCTCTCTCTCTCTCTCTCTCTCTCTCTCTCTCTCTCTCTCT